CCAGCTTTCAGGGCTAAATGGATTTCAACAGTGGAATTTATGAGTCGATCTAACCTAGACCACCACTGAAAACCTGGAAGCACTAGACAACCGTCTCGTTCTAGTATGGGACTCCTCAGCAGTACGCATCCCCGATCCCGCACACGGAACTTGAACCCAGGATCTTCGGCTTCATATGCGAACGCCTAACATCTAGACCACTGGTTCGGCATCCAGTGGTGTTATGTCAAACTTCAATCGATCCATGATCTTGCTCAATCCTTCATCTATTATCTGAGCTAAATACCTGTCTCCACTCAACATGGATTGGACTCCACTGATCACGGCTTCTCACTAGAACCCCAGGAAATTCATCTTGAAGGAGTTCCATACTAGGATAAAACGTCTAATGTTTCCACTTTTCCGATGGTTGTCTAGCTTAGATCAACTCATGAATTACTACAATCTCCATTCTGATAAATGAACTTCATCAATCAAGTTGTAATAAAGCCACTTTTCTAAGTAATCTTAAATAACATGTATAAGCGAACAATGTTGTCTTCGATTAGATTTTCATCAGGTTATACACTAATATACCGTGATTTTATATGCATATATGAAATCATTAAATTAATCAAGGCATTTTATGAGTCAATGATAACAGTATAATAGTTTATATAAATAAACATATGTGAAAAGTACAAATTGATAGTGTGATGTCAGGTGTACTAGTTGTGATAAGAATAATAAAGGCTTGAATTAATGTTGCATAATGGCAAATAGGTCAAAGATTAGAAAAATATAGACACTGAAATAATATTCATATAAAAAAATTATAAATGTTCAGATAATTGGACAATGAAGCTTGTATTTAAAAAAAGAAAAGTGTAGGAGAGGGTGATAAAAAATAAACGAACAATGAGTATGGAACAAAAAATCATTTATTAAGGTCAAGGGAGAGATAAAGGTGTTACAAATTACTTATGAACACAAAGACTTGTATTGTTATTTCGAATTCCTATGGTTTGTGCTATGTGTAAGAGACGAGGTCGAACCCCATAAAAATAACTAGTAGGAATACGATAAATCACTCTAAATGATTTATTTCTGTCCTCTACATGACCACTATAGATCAAGTGTGATAGAACAGAGCTGAGTATTGTTTTGACGGTACCATTTCCTAACCACGAAGGGAGGTGTTCACTAGCTCGTTGGCTCAATTGTCTGGTAGTGAGCCCAATATAGCTTTCTTCACAGGAGCAGTTAAAGTTATAGATACACATAGATGTGACAGAACCATGTAACTTATTCTTTGGTTGAGGAATCATCATAGATTGGGTCGGGTACAATAGACAGAAGTTGGCTGCATTAAACGTTCTCCCAAATGCTCTAGTCAGTCTATCCCGTAGCACATCACCAGCTACATCTCCAGTGAATCGCAGCCTCAGGAAAAGGGGTTTCTTGATAGCCGTTGATGTCGCTATTTTCTTGTTTGTTACATTCATGTGTCTCTTCAGGAAACCTTGTGGAAAACCCATTTCAATCAACATATTATGTATGAACTCTAGTTCCTTGTTTTTTTAATCGACTGAGCATATCTTCCTAACTCTATTTGTAATACATCTAAGTTTCCCTTATAATGAACATTAGTACGCTTTTTGTTAAATTATAGTTAATTGAACACACATTTGTTTAATATAATTTCAATGTAGTCTGTAAACCATAGATGAATAAAAACTTCAACTTCTAAAGAGCGAAGAATTCCAAGGCATTTTAAAACTAAATAGAGATAAAGTTTTCTAGAACCAAACGAAACTATTCGAAATCCTTTATTTCGAATAAAGGAAAATATTATATTTATATATACACAGAATGATATTTACAGATTAAGTTATGTAGATTGAATGGATTCTATATTGGAGAATCTTCTCGTGAAGTCTCGACTCACGCTAAGGAACGCCTGAACTACACAGAAGAACCTAATAATCCTGTAGAACTGGAAAAATTACAAATTAAATCGACAACGGTAGTACATGCTGTTTTCAACAACCACCAGAAACCGATATTAAAAATACTGAAATTATTCAGAAAGATTTCTCCAATTATAAAGAAATGAGAATAGCTGTTTTATGTCTTGAAGACCGCCGACCACTAATACATTCCCAGCTACCAGTCGGAATCATAGTCTTAACATGGTCTGTTAGTTACTTTATAGTTTAGTATCTCTTACTTGACCAGCTACACGTTAAACATGTCTACTGACCTCTAGCCAGCAGATGGTTTCCCATTTGCCCATTGTTCTCTAGCTCCTCTCCATGTCTAGAGTTGAGATCAGCAACCAGCGAATAAAATATTCATAGACTAGTTAGCAACTAAATAGAGGCCATACCATGGTAACATAGACTGAGTAGAGGGAATAAGCAATAAACTACATTTAACGACATATGTCCGAAACTGGTACTTGATCGATCACCGACCAAGGTAGTGACCACATACATCCATATATATATATGAGCACTATATTTAAATGAATGCATCGAATACATGTCTTGTCATTTAGGTTATTTGTTATATGAATATTCTATTACTGTAGCTTTCGTTCTCACTGTCAATACTCCAGGTAATCTATTTCCGATTATTATTTTCCTTAATCTGATGTGGTAATTATTGTGCTACGTATTGTATCTATTCCAGTCTGCTTGAAAATGTAAGCGATACAGTTGTAAGTGAATAAAATGAGTGATAATAAACCATCTAAGTAATTATTAACGGAATGATTGACTGAAGAAATGCAGTTCATTATTTCGATACATTCTATTTTTTTCATTATTAAAATCTAGTTAAGGCATAAAATAGTTATTAACGAAGCTGACAATCACTTAGTATTTGATACCCTAAACAATGGAGATTTAAGTATCTTTTTGAAGCATTAATAAATAGGATTGGATTGTCAATCACTTTAAAATTATTGCATTAACTGAAAGTTCATATGTTTTTATATGCTTTCCAGGGAATTTTAATTTACTTCAATAATTTTGTGAAAACTTTACGTAATATTTCAAAGGGGTTTTCATTGTTGGTTGATGTCACCTAGAGGTTGATTGAATATTTCATAATATGAAAGTGCCGTTTCAGTCTAGTTTGTTATCGCTGAGTAATCAGTAACATGACGTCCAACTTGATATTGAATCCAGAATTAATAGCTTACAAACTCCAGATGATACCTCATGCAACTACTGAGATTTAGTTTGGTGGTTGATAGTTTTAAATTCTAGTAAGTTGGTTACGCAACACTAGTCTCATTCATTGCATTCCGTTATATTCCAGACATGACTAACTTAACAGTTCTTAGCTTTCCACTAGTATTTTGGATTATCCATCTTCTAAAACATCATTGCGTATATTTCAGTGCTGTCAGTTCGTTTCCACCACCTACTAACCTGTTTTTTTTATGATTTCCCCGCTGATATTTATTTGTGATGGAATTTATAGAGACATGAAAGCATTGGATGGCCATTTCGTCCTAGTATTGGACTCCTCAGCAGTGCGCATCAACAATCCCATACACTACACTCGAACCCAGGACCTCTGATCTCGTATATGAACGCCTAACCTCTGAACCACTGAGCCGGGGTTACATCATGAAGCTAGTCACTGGTGTGCACATGATTGTTATCAGTATGCGTATTTGTGGCGATTGTAGTATCTTCACAGTCGGGTGCAAGACAGTTATCCATTTTAGACAATGAATGAAGGGTTGAACAAGATTATAGATCGATTGAAGTTTCACATTAACACCAATTCATGCCAGATTAGTAGTCTAGATGTTAAGCGTTCGCATGTGAGACCGAAAATCCTGGGTTCGAATCCTGTGTGAGGAATTGTGGATGCATACTGCTGAGGAGTCCATACTAGAACGAGACGATTGTCCAGTGCTTCCAGGTTTTCAATGGTGGTCTAGCATAGATTGACTCCTGAATTCAATCATTAAAATGACTACAATCTCCACAACCCCCCCATTCTGACCATAATTATTTATTTTCCCTACAAGTTATTGATTAGGCACAGACATATTGGCTAAATGTTAACGTAACAACTAGATGACAAAATTTTCCTATGATCAGTAAGTGTGTAGGCAACACTTATTTTGAAAGATTTATGCATGTCTGTCTTACAACAAGGAAATTGAATCATAGGAAAACGAAAGTGATTGTGACGTTTTTTAAAATTCGACTGATGAACGTAGCTTCGTATGTTGTTTATTGTCACAATTATTTCTGATGCAATAGAGATATAGATTTTATATTGGAAAATAGATCAAATTAATCCTCCATTTGAATTTAATTGAACCAATCAAGTTAAAATGGATATTTTAGCAGTACATAGATGAAATGTTTTAAATCTCTCCAGTCAGAAAATGAGGGACAAAGAATCAATATAATTTTTTTCAGTTGTGTTTGTTTATCTATTACAAAGTATTTGTATTTGCTTGTCTTGAGTGTGTGTCCGTTTGGTTGGTCAATTTATGCATTAAAAAATAATTTTAATTTTTGTCACAATGGGAGACTATCTATAATATTAGTATCTATTGTGCTACACACACTTTGTGCTTATATCTTAAATATACTAATGACAACAAACACGGACATATGGTCTACATTTACACACAAGTACACACCTTTATAGTAAAATTTAAGGTGTATGTAGGAGCAATATGTCAGTAGATTACAACAACATTAATTGTACAACACATAACTAAATACTTGTATTTGACGAATGTGTTTTAGCTCGTTGAAATAAAACTTCCCGTTACTACTTGATGTTCATTTTTCAATTGGATTATAAACTTTGAATATAAATCTCTCTTCATTTCACAAATCATTCATATGCTAGAAATTATGGTGATGCGTTTTTAATAAATTATTATTAAACTAGACATTTAACACTGAAAATAAGCAACAATCTACTCATCATTCATTTCTTGTTAAAAATCATAAACAAAATTTAAGCGAAAAGAAACAATGACGAAAATAACATTTACTTCGTGTTTTAAATGCCTCAAATATTCCATGTTTGTATTTTGTTTGATAGCATGGGTAAGTGTAGAATATTTTATATACATTGTGCATGTTCTGTTGTCAATATACATCAATATTAGAATTTCCAAAACATTGTATTTAAAACGATTGTTTATTGATATATTTCACTGGAATGAAGAGTTCGTCCAAAGGTATGTTCCATTGAGAAAGTGCACATTGGATTATTTGAAGTTTTAAAGTTCTACTTGTACGAATACCAGCTAAATATATGCATCACAAAGCAAAGTAGTTGGATAATTTCCATAGGTTGGGAGTGAGATGACAACTCAAGAATAACACTAGATCGGGATCTCAAAATTTCAGAGTTCGAATGAAATAAAAAATACAGTCTACTGGGTTCGAACTTGGTAGTTTGGTGATATAGTATTTCCTGGTAAACTAGGATTTCCTATGTTTCATTCCGTAATTGGTTCGTGATTATTCACTAATGAGTAGATCCAAAAAACAATTAAGTATATGTATAGTTCTACTTAGTCTTCAATAGCTCTTAAAGTGATATCAGTCCTTATCTAAACACATCTTGAACCAATGAAAAAACCTAGTTTATTTTAAATGAGTAACGTGTATTCCCACAACTCGTTTAATATAACTGTCTCGTACGTACACAGATCACAAAGATTGAAGTTAATAGCCAAATATAAAAAATGGAACCGATGAAATATAAGTGAGGCTAACTACAGCGATGCCTTTTTAATCGGATTGCTTTAAACTTAGTTATATGCATAGGGAAGCGTTTCAACAAATAAAATGATTGGTACCCACCGTATTTTTGTTTGTGTGTTCCAATAAAACATTGATTTGAATAATATCGTATTTTAAACTATGTAGGGTTATGTGCTTTGATGCCCTTATTCTGAAGGATCAGTTCTGTAACAACACATAAATGTAAAGTGATAGATTACATTATTTGCACCATCATTGATTAGAGTCGATCAGATTTAACCCTAACATTTATTTGGGAACTAACTCTTTAATAGTAATTAAAAACCTAGAAGCATTGGACAACCGTTTCGTTCTAGTATGGGACTTCTCAATAGTACGCATCCACACGGGATTCGAACCCAGGACCTTCGATTTCGCGCGTGGACGCTTAATCTCTAGACCACTGATCCGGCATCCAGTGGTGTTATGTCAAACTTCAATCGATCCATGATCTTGCTCAATCCTTCATCTATTGTCTGAGCTAAATACCTGTCTCCACTCAACATGGATTGGACTCCACTGATCACGACTTCTCACCAGAACTCCAGGAAATCCATTTTGAAGCTAGTCATTAGTAAGCACATGATTATTATCAGAATGGGGTTTGTGAGGGTTTTAGTAATTTTAATAGTTGAAACAATCTTGAAGAAAAATCACTTTAAACTTTGTCGAACGATGAATAGTCCGACAATAAAGCACATAGATATCTATCTATGAACTATTCCTCCGATAACCTGTTATCCTTTCACGATAAATCCAAAAATTACAAAATCCTTTTATTAATAACCCAAATTTAGTAATGCTTCAAGCGTAGCTTTATGTTCCTCAAAAAGTTCCTTATTGTTGAGTCATCAGATCATAAATTATAAAATATTTCCAGATAGATATGTTTAACATAGTAAACGATGGGTATTTAATTTTAGGGTTAACTGATCGTTCGAAAATAATACATCTGGCAGAACTACTGAAGTGTATCACACTTCAGTGATTATTGATCGTAAGCCACAAATGGGCGTACATTTGACTTGAAAAATAAATGAAATTTTCTGGTTCATATATGATAATCCACTGAAAGAATATTTATATGGACTGCCTAAATTAAGATTCAAAGAGAAAGACAATTTTGAAAGGTTTTCTAGTTTAAAATTTTTTGTTGTGAAAAAGCAATCTATTTCGATTCCCACACGAGGTGCTTATACTTAATAGCTAGGAAAATAACACCACATTAATGAATCTTTGGTGTTTTTGTAATCTCGTACGGTTTAGATGATCTACATTAAATACTATATTAAAACTGTTCATAATCCTGTCAACAGTTAAACTCATATTAATTATCATGCTAATCACCAATTAACAGTTTGTTCAGTCTTAAGGACTACTGAAGGACAACACGTTTTTATGTCATGCACATATCCATGGAAATACTAAGTCAAATCTCAGAAATTATTTAAAATATATTAGATATGTGATTAGAAATAAGGCATCATGTTGAAGAGCAATTTCCTTTTTATAGTCACGTTAAATTAATCAAAGAATAATGAGATTAAGTATAAAAAGTCAGTATCTAATACTATTTTATCGCTTAATGTGGAATGCTTAATAAACAAACATTATCTAACGTCAAATAAGTTCTCTTCAATCTTAAATTATGAAATTTCCAACTTTAATTTTCACGAGATTTCGATTTTTGTTTCTCAGTGCGAAACACATTTATAAAACAAGTAGTAAAGTCTTTTATTTACTTTCTGTAACTACCTATAATAAGTAGGTAATAAAAACAATAAGTTGATTGTTTTAATCTGTGGAGCCTAATTAAAAAAAAATAAAGATGTACGTCTGACAAGCGATTAGCGTTTAAAATGATTTACATCAATTCTGAATGTCTACTAAGTAGTTGGAATTTATTTAAATATAGGTGTCATTCTATCTTTTTAAATAGAAATAATCACTAATATTCTCAGATAGGCCTGTATCAGTAAATGGAATTGTATTTATTCCTACTAAATGACCGTGAAAATCCAACAAAATTTATAAATTATGCTATAATACATAAATTATTTACAGATTAAATTCTATGTCAAATTTTATTTTTATCTTTGGTTGAACTTCAATATAACCATCTTTGACAAGTATTAACAGATATTCTTCAAACAAACAAATTAACTTAGTAGCTACTTAGTAGACTTAATTGAACAATTCCATTAAAAATACTGATGAAGATCTTTTTAATCAGTGAGAAAAATTGTCTTCAAAAATATATTCTCTTTGATTTTTGCGGGTAGTGTTAAGCTACTCATTTCATTGAGTAGTACACATATTTTCCAGTAAGGTGAACTGAAATTTGCTTAATTAGACGTAGTTTAATTATAGTTTTCGACAAATGATGTATAATATCAGAAGGGGTTTTTGTGGATTTTATAGTAATTTCAATAGTTGAGATCATGAGTCAATTGAAGCTAGAAGTTCGGACCTCGTGAGGCGGGATCGTGGATGTACACTTCTGAGGAGTCCCACAATAGGATGAAACGGCCGTCCAGTGCTTCCAGGTTTCCCATGGTGGTCTAGCTTCAATTGACTCATGATCTCAACTATTGAAATGATGTATAAGTATAGAGGATTTGTGGAGATTGCAGAATTTTCACAATTAAAATCACTAATTGATGATTAATGAACTTATTGAAGTAAAACATTAACACCGTTTGATCCCGGTTCAATGGTCTACAGGTTAAGCGTTCGCTCACAAATTCGTAGGTCCTAGGTTCAATTCTCTCGTTGGGTAGTGGATCTTCAGTGTTGACTCTCATAGTAGGATGAAACGACCGTCTAGCGCTTCCAGGTTTTCAATGGTGGTCAAGTTAAGATCAGTTTACGATTTCAACAGTGAAAGAACGATGTGCGAGTCCTGTTACTTGAATAACCAGGAAATAAATATGAATCAAAGTTCACCTTTTGTTAAGTCCTATACCAACGTCCTTTTAAACAAAGATATTTTGTTTTAGCTAGCTGGTTATCTCTTATTTTTAATCGTTTTCTATTTGTTGGTAGTCCATGGTGAAAACTACTTCCCGAATATGTATCGTCAGCTATTCACCAGATTAAAATACTTAATTTTGTTTCTTGTTTCAATTAAATTACAGGTTCTTGGTTTAATCACATTTATTGTTGGTATTGTGGCTCGTGTAAACGGTAGCTTTGGAATTTTAGATGCACATATACCAGCTGTTCATGCAGGTAACATAATTTACATTATATTAACAGTGCTTTTAAAAAAAAAGTGTTTTTCACTTCACATTTCAAACAATTCGTATTCAGCTAAATAGTTTTATGTGAATGCATTGAAATATATATTTCATCAGCAGGACACAAACAATCCAACGAACATAATTCTGGTAGCATTTAATAACAAATAAGTTTTTGTTGGATAATATCCAGTAATTCACAGATATGTTCTTTCTTTTTTCTGTTGGGAAATGAAATTTTTTCAGAAAAATTAGACCAGGTTCAGTTTAAAAAAGTTTCTTGAGATCGATATTTTGAAATTTTAAAACTACTTTTGTATAGATTATTTCGTTATCTTTCTACGAACTAATTCTTTCTTCCTGTACTATATCCTTATTGCAATCTTTCTTTTATATATTACCACCTCTGAATCAACTACTTTTATGAATCCGGTGTCCATCTTGTTGTGTTAATGAGGTATGGAAACTTGAACCGATGCATATATGTGCTTGGTCCTACGTTGTAGCTGACTGACTGACTGACTATCTTAAGACTCACATCCTTATTGGTTATTTCTAAAGAGTATCTTGAAATGTTTTACAATACTCATATATTTCTTTAGTATCAGTTTCCATTTTATTCCTAACTTTTATTTTCAGTTGTCAGGGTTTGAGTTAGAGCTATTTGAGAAATTATTCTATTCAGAGTACTTTGTTTTATTCGGTCAGATTTCCAAATCACTTAGAAGATTTAATAAATAACAGTTATACGGGATTAGTAACTGGGTAGCAAATTTTCGAATCTACAATGAATTACTAGGTTTTTTGTTCTATGTAAACGAATAGTTAGACTTTTGTTATATTCTCTCTCTTTTCTAAATCACTGGCCTATGTAATAGGATGTATTTGAACTACATTTCGAACACTAATCCGAATAGTGTTGAATAGCTCTAGCAATGTACTGTTTAACTAAAATTCATGAATTTCAAAGGCGATATTCTATATACATATTTCAATCGTCAAAGAACTGTCATAATAAAATTATTTGAATCAGATGCGTCATCCGAGATGCTGTGCTTAATGATGATGATGATAACGACATAAATACTTAGTTAAGCGTATATTTAGACTTTGATCCGTCGAAACTTTAGAAATATGTCAATTAGATGATGAACACTAGAGGACCGATTGGTATTCTACTTAAACAACTCAAATAAAACAAATGGGTTAAAGTTAATAACATGTTTTGAAACTATTGAAACATTCATCTTCATATAGATATGCATGCATATCAAACTATAATAACTCACTGACATGTGACACGTAATTTTCTCTGTGAAACTATCAGCTGAAGAGTTATTGCTAACTAGAGAGATCTAGATAACTTTGTTGCCATGGTTCAAGGTGTTTTTGAAGATTTGTAGTTCAGTAGAATGATTTAGTTGGTGATATATCCCATAAGCTGGACTATCTAACTATGAAGCTTTCGTTGTATTTCTAAACTACATTATCAGTAAATACTTCTACTTTTTGAAATGTGTCGATGACATTACATACACATATGAAGAAAGCTTGAGCTTCAGCTCACAAAACATAACACTTCTGAAAGTTCACATCTATGGACACCCGTGATTTCATATTACATCCAGTCTACAATCCTAAGGTTAGCGGTTAGCCCAATATTTCCAGGTCACTTAGCTAGGATCCAAAGGTTCACATTTTCAGCTTAAGTAAATTGTGCTATTCTGATCCAATGAAACTTTTAATCAAGCCACCGACTGTCGACATAGTTGTAAACTGTACGGGTCGCGCTTTCTCATCAGAATTTAGGGAAGGTTGTTATTATGATGAATATGAGAACAAACCCTTGTTTTTTTAATATTTTAATATTTCATTTAGTTAAAGTACAAGAACGAAAGAAATCAGCACTTTATAAGGATGGCTTACACTTAGATGATTAATTATTATAAACCATATGGGGACAATGAAATTGTCCACGTGACATCAGTATTAGTAAAGAATAACCTTAATATAAAGTACACTAACATATTTGTAAGTTGAAAATCAATTAGTACCCAGCAAAAAATGATTTGTTGATTAGTAAACGAACATTTCAAAGCTCTATTAACCAATACTGCGATATGATATGTATGCAACTGAATTTAGGACATTAACGATTTAAGGACAAATATCATGCAAACTAAACGTCACCTCATATATATTTAGAGTAAGACAAATAAAACAATGGCTTTTTAAATCTTACAGTACCTACTCTTTCAAGATATGTATGGTGGGGTAACGAATTGAAAACTAGAAGTTTTGTGGTCTTGTGTGAAGACATTTAATCTATGCATGAATATAGTGATATGAAACTGTCAATATTTCATTTTTGCTATCAGATTTTACAAAAGACTTATTTTCCAGATTGATTTTCCTATGTAAATAATTATAAATATATTGATAAGTATAATTAAGTTTTTCAGACATCAATATTGAGATACATTTATGTTTGATAACAGATTATATGATAGCCAATGTATCATGTTCTTTGGATTGAGTTTAGAAGTAGCCAGTAGGTTAAGTGATTGGTGCTTCATATGTTAATGGATCGTCGACAGCAATTGGTGGAAATCTGTAAATCTTGTTCTGAAAGATTTTTTCACAAACCGATTATGATAAATTAATTAATGAATTCAATACCTGAATTAGTTATTCCGATGTTTTAAATATAGTTTTCGTCATAATGAAGAAAACCTAATAACAAAATGAAATCTTTGCTTCTTGGGAGATTTTCCATTCTCCTAGATTATATATCATTTCATTTGTATGTCATACCTGATCGCGAAAATTGCTGATTCAAATCTGAGACTGACTACTAAAGATCAAGTCATATAATGTTCTAATTCAAAGTAATATTTAACAAATGACAGAAGGAATAATAATCTTCAATTGATGTCAAGAAAAGTATTCATACAACGAAACGTGATTTACTTAGTTATATTTTTATACATTACCCATTGATTTGTAAACTTTGATCAATCTTGGGAATGTCTGTAACATAATGCTTATCAATTCTCTAGGTCATCAATGTATTAACTTACTTATCAATTAACGTCAATATTTTATAATAACATAATTCCAAGATGAAATGTTTTCGATTTTGTCATTTGTTAACTCAAGAAGGCAACTGAACAGCTAAATTTAAAAAAACTTTTTACTCTAGAAATAACGTTTCATTTGATACTGAATGTCTTTGAATTAGATTATATTTCGATCTTAACATAGGTTCAGTTTACAAAAGAATTTCAATTTCCACTGGTTATGACAATATCGTTAGGTACTTAAAATTAAATTACATATTTTGTTTATAAACTAGTTTCAGATATCATATGAAGTATAGCTCTTACAGATTGATTCATTTTCAATTGTGTCAAAAAAAGTAAACAAATATTTTGATTATTTATATCAATAATGATTGATTATAAATTGTTTATCTAATAAATTATACCATTTAAAAATTGCATTCAAGAAATCTTTTAGTGATCTACTTCTTCCTTGAAGTTATTCAATCTCTTAGGATCCCATATGTCATTAACATGTAAATATTATGTTCAAAAGAAGAGAATCGATAAAACGACCCAAATAGCTTGTCACGTTGATCGATAGTAAATAATCCAACAAGTGTTTGTTTTATTTTTTACAAAACTAAATGGTCCAATGCCGATAATCTTTTTTTTTAGTTGAATTCTTATGTATTGATATTATTGTTTTAAATTGTGAGTAATTGCAGTGTTGCTTGGAAGTTAATAAATTCTGCTGCCCTATTATTTGTTAATACTTATTGTACATTTAAAAATAGCATAAATGTAAACTATTTCTGTAGTTTTAATGTGTTGTTTACATTTATTTGGTAATTTCTTCATTATGTTATAAACAAATTCTTATGGTAAAATAACCTAAGTTACAATGTATTGTTTACAATTCTTAACGTGTACAAATTACAAATAATCATCTAAGATTATAATCAAAGATAGAACTAACCCATATAGCTTGTACATAAATACACTTAAAGCATCTATTGGATACAAGATTGAAGTTGTAATGATGGGATACAGTTAATTAAAATTTATTAACTGTAGTCATAATGATAGAAAAGTCATTTTTGATGAAAATGAAAATTCTCGGGCTTCAAGAGAGAAATAAAAATTAAAAAGAAGCATGTAGCTTTGCATGTTGTGTAAAAGTGGGGATAACCTAATAACTCAGGACCTAGGAAATAGAACAGATGAAATATTTTGAATTATTTCTGTACATTCAGGAAGTAATTTGTTAATTATGTTATTTTTTTGTTTATAAAGGTCATATTCAAATATTTGAAAGGGAGAATTATTTTATATGGACCATTTTACCTACGTTTCACATCCCCTGTTACAGTATGGGTTCGAATCCCACGAGGCACATCAATTCCTTCAAGACCCTAGATATTCTTTACTGATCAGTACGAATGTTTTGTAGCTATAGAGATATAGAGATACGTTGACTAAGGAATTTTCCAAGGAAACCAAATCAATGGCTGCAATATTTTCACGAACGTTATTAATCTAAACAGATATTTGCTCTACGTTTTGGCAAACTTCATTTTTCCTTTCGTTTTTCATTGTAATATCTAGGTGCTAACTTACTTATTGCTGTCGGGTTTTTCATTATGATAATGGGTTTCTTTGGTTGTTGTGGTGCCATTCGTGAAAGTCAATGTTTACTATTTTTAGTAAGTTTAGCTTCTTAAAATAGTCAAATAATGGTTTGCTCAAAATATTTTATTCAATTTTTGAAACTGAATATATATATTATTGGTGATCGCTCAGTACATTGGATTGGTTGAAGTTAGACAGTAACATGATTGGATATCGACTCAGTGGTATATAGGTTAAGCGTTATCGAGTAGGGTCGATGAATAGATGAGTCACTACCTATTTCAATAATAATCAATTTTTTGTCACTTGTATTTCTAGAAAACCGTAGGAGCTATTGTTTTCATCTATGTTGTGACCACTTTGAAACGTTTAGCTATATAAGCCTTTAGAATGTTAAGTCTGATCACATTGTAATACTCCAACTCACGATGATGTTTTGGCGCTGATTTTATAAATGATCTAAATGTCAAACACCACATGAATATCTATTTTGAAAACCATATGACTAGTTTTATTGCCAGATTGACTAGAACAAAATTATACATTTCCATGGACGAAATTTTATCATCAACTTCTCGTTAATTTTCCCGGTGAAATGAATAAGAAACTTCCAACTAAAGTATCACCTTATCTTCAGAAACTTTCCCCATCCTACGATCAAGACATAAATAGCTAATATTATTTTTAAAGTATCTATAACAGTTGGGTTTAAAAACTAACCCCCTTAAAGAAATACCATTTATTGGATTCAAGAGTTGGCAAATATCACTGAAGTTAATCAACTTAAAGTAAATAATAGGTCCTTAATTTTTTATCATCCCAATGTTCTAGCCAGTCGTGCTTATCCTGAACAATTTGTATGAAGGGTTTATGATGATATTCATGTTTATGCCGCTAGGGATAATCGAATTAAGCAACCATTCAATTGATGTACAGTTTGTATTCCAGTACTTATTATATATATTGGTAATGATAAATATATAATTGTTGCAAGAGACTTTAATTAAGCCAATGGTTAATAGAGTCGTAGTCAAATCGATTGTGATTATTATTTATTGCTGTACTTAGATATATAGAATATCACTTAAAACTACAGATGTTGATTAAAATATTTGATATCTCTTAAGGCATACCTGTAATTATCGTTGATTTTTGCGAAAGCAAGGAAATGTGCAAATTACTTTTATCCTTCCTAACTCAATTGGTTAAATATCTAAATTATTGTTAATGCTAATTAAATCTTAATATAGGCTTCCAGAACTTCAAGGTTGCATGTTACCATACAACTACTTCTCATGATTTCCATAACTAAACTAAACTTGGGAGTAAACGTTTTGTAGTATTGTTCGCCTCTCAATATTTTTCTTGATTCAAGTTTTCGCGAGTTTAGACACCGATTGTGAAGACAATTTTTTTACGAGGAATCTAGTGCATTAGATTTGACAATGACAAAAACAATTGAGAATTTCACATCGTGTACTACTTCTCTAGATTAAGAGATAAACAACAACTAGCAAATGCACGTTGAACAATGCAAATTTTTAGTACACTTTCATGTTTGTTTATTTCAATAAATAAGGAGATTTTGTATTAATATTCCTTTTAATTTTTTCATTTATTTTCATAGTTCTTTGCATTTGTATTCTTTTGCTTCACTCTGTTAATGGCAGCTGGTTTATGGGCTGTTGCATGGTCGTCTAAAGTAAGTTATTTTGTTTTATATAATTATTTATGTATGCTATCAGTATTGGGATTTATGGAGATTGTAGTATTTTTAAAGTTAAAATCACGAGTCAGTTTAAGTAAGACCACCATTGAAAACCTAGAAGCACTGGACGACCACTTCGTTCCATCATTTCGCTTGTAATCAATGGTCTATAAGTATCCTTCTATTTAGAAAAACTTCAAAAGGTGGTATTTCAAGAAACCAGGCAGATCTAATCTGAATATTCCCATCTAGAGATCTAAAAAATATAAATTAACCAAAGAAGTAATTGTGACCAACATCACAGACTGACTTTATCAAGACAATTAACCGAAACTTAGAAGTACTAGACAGTTGTTTTGTCTTGATATGAAAGTTTTCAACAATGTATACTCACGACTTCGCGAGGACCAGAGCTAGTAATTTTGGCGCCTGTTGTCTTCAGGTCACTGGGTTAAGATTAGACAACTCACATTTCTAACTTACACGAATACTGTCTATTATCATCAGTGAAACCTGCTTGACTTCCGGGATGAATGAATTCCACTGGTCGGGGCTTCTAACTAGGACATAAGGAATACTTTTCAAAGTTGACCATATATATATATATAATTATTATTATCATCAGTGTAAGAGTCGATTTGTGATTTAATTTAACGCTTTAAATATCATTACGAGCTAACTGTACTGAAGAAATTATATATTTTAAAAAAAAATCAAATGATGTACCAGTTATTTGTATCAGTGCATTATTAATTATGAAAATAAGTCAAAAAGTAATACAGTTAGTGAAATATTTAAATAAAAACGTAAATATGCCTATGACACAGGGGTGGTGAATGAACAATTGGTTTCTATGTATTCGATGTTCTACAATGAAAATAACAGAATATCATTAGAAAAACTATAGTGTATTTCTATGTGAAAATAATTTATAAACAGTACATTTAACATAAAATTCGAGTTATATGTTGAATCATATCTGTATAGATCTTATGTAAAATTATTAAATTATGTATACCTGTTAAAATAAAATAATTAGTTTAAAACTAATATCTTTTCTTTGTTTTAATTGAATGATCAAAACTGTACAATTGATTACTTTAGATATCTAGAGTATTCAGAATCTTGATAACAACTGCTCACTGATAAATTATATATTATTAAAGTAAAAAAAATCAATTAAATATGTCAACATATTTAGATTATAATAGATCAAAGAAATTTGAATATATTTCATCACTGTCGAAGATATTTTTAAGCGATCAACAAAATCGATCATGGAGAAAGTTAGCATACAGTAAGGTGTTTGAAATTTTTCTGGTGTATCATCAACTTATAAAGATAAAGATATATACATTAGTTACAAGTACAGAGAATCATGAAGATCATGTAGTTAATTGTACATATAAGTTACAATATATTCACACATAAAATCAAAATAATTAGTATGCAAACAGAGTTATCTTCGCTACATGAAAATAGAGAATCGGAAGTATGTTTTTTGTTGCTTTTGAGTTGTCATTTTTTTTATCTGACTAATTAAGCCAAGCATTTGTCATTGAGTAACCGCATATTGGTCAAAATTTAAATTTAGTCAAATGAGCTTATGATGTGCTTATCTACTTTTTTCATGTACTAGAGTTATTACGAAAGTTATGGTTTATTGTTTTAAAATTTATAAGAACATTAGCTTTCAATGAGACTTGAAATTTAGCTGATTTTAAAAAGTGGTCGACTTGATTTTTCTATTCTTTAAATCTCATGCATCTTTCTAGCATAATTTTACCACTAAGATATGTGGCCGATTTTTCGGTTGAATTCAACCATTAAATTACTACAATTTTCACAAAACCCCTCGCTGGTTACAATGATCATATGTTCACTGGTGACTGTCTTCAAGAGGTATTTCCTGGAGTTCTAGTGAGAAATAGTGAGCAGTGGAGTTCAACAGAGTCTGTTGTGAGATAATAACTCACTGAAGTCAATGGTGGACGGTGGTGCAATTTTGCGGATTGGTTGGAGTTAGACATTAACACCATTGGATGCCGGCTCAGTGGTTTAGAGTTTAAGCGTTCACGTGTGAGACCGATAGGTTCTGGGTTTGAATCTCGCGAGGCGGGATCGTAGGTGCGCACTTCTGAGGAGTCCCACAATGGGAAGAAACAGCCGTCCAGTGCTTCCAGGTTTTCCATGGTGGTCTAGCTTCAATTGACTCATGAATTCATCCATTGAATTACTACAATCAACACAAAACCCCCCTCTGGTTATATATATATATATATATATATATATATATATATAAAATTCTAGTAAGAATAATGATTATTATTTAAACAACTGAACAATAACAACATTTGTGCATTTAAACATATTTCTTAATATTACTTATTAAAATATATAAATGTATTTTGGATTCGTTTAATAATAGTAATAATAGTCTTATTCCACTACTTTTAACATGTAAATATATCAAATGTGATAACTCATTGGGTTTATTCAACCGTCTATTCGCGGTTAGGGAAGTTATCAAATTGTGTTTCAGTCTATAAAATTCGTTATTTTGATTTAAAGTGAAAAATGATTAAATATTTACTCAAGAAGATATGAAATTTATTAACGTTTTAATGTATACTGTAGAATAATGAAAATATTTCTATTAATGTATTAGAAGTATTATTATTCTGATATAACGTTTCATTTTCATAGGTGAATCATTACATGTATCGTTATTTAGAAGAACAAGTGACTCGATATCGTGAAACGGAACCAGAAAATGAAAGTACAAAATTAATGGATTTTATACAAAAGAAAGTGAGTTACATAAATTGAATATAGATTGACATACATTTTAAATTAATGGTATCTATTTTTTGTTGTATTTTTACATATAAAACTTCCTGTTCAATCAATCTTAGAAAAAAATTATAATAAATGTATCTGAATGGTAAATGACTCACCAGTTTACGTTAAAACTTCGTAAGTTTCAAAATAATGATTTCATTTAGAGAAATGTTGATAGCAAGAAACATTTGTTAAGTATCTCTTTTTGGTTCAAGACTACCGAACATTGTAAATACTTAATTCATTGTTACTTTAGATTGTTGACTTTTGGATCTATTGAAGAGTATGTTATCTGTTTACTATATGATCAGACTTGAATGGTTCACTATTCATACACATCAATTTAGTTTAAAAATGTAGATCACTGAGTTCGTGATCATTGACCTAATTGTAGTGTACAAATCGATATGATTGAATGTTCATGTGTCGGAAGTACATATCACTTTCCAGTACTACAATCCAAAATACCCTTTAATTCTAAGTAATTCTTCACATAACATCAGTCTCGTATGAAACATATCTTAGACTAATCAGTTGCTTATAAAATTTCTGTTTCTTCAATTGTAATTATTTTTTTTATGAAACAGTTGGGGTTTTTTCCAATAGAATTTTGCTCTTTGAACTAGATAATTTGATTACAGAGATTTTATTGTCGTTCTGGACAACATCATTCGTATCTAATTCACGTAGAAGTTAATTTCTCACTTATTCGACAAATGTTATGTTAGTTTATTATGATAGTGTTGCTTGTGATACATTACTTTTATCAGTTTTATTGTTTTATTTGTTCTTTCCTTCATGAAAGCCCATTAGTTAAGCCTTTTACCACAGACAACATAACAACGAAAAAGCATCTACCTGACCTGCAAATCTTCATAATGATTCAAGGTAGATGGGAGAAAGTCTTAGACATAGTTTTTACGTTGATTGATTAGATTTCATAAATAAGAAAGTTGATATTCGTTTCTTTCCACGACAGATAAGAAGCCACATTAACCAGTCTTAAAGTTAAAGCCATTACTACTAAACTATTTAACCAATCATTACCCTTTTACAGGACTAAAATGTTTGGTCTACAAATACTGTAAATGCTTTTTTGTGTTCACTTAACTCTATCGATCAATTTGTCATTGGATAAATTTGTTTGCGAAAATTCTTTACAATGAACTTAATGAACTTATTCCATGAACCATTTTACAATTTAACGGTTACATACATATTAATTATTAGGATAAAGTTAGTATTCTATAAGTTATATTAAAAACGAATATACACTATATGGACTTTTGAATAATTGATTAAATAATTACTTCTCAATTCCTGTTTTGTAATTTCACGAACATTAAGTAATGCGGAAATCATCTTATTAACATATACGTGTGATGTTAAATCATGTGATAATAACTTCATTAACATATTTGACATAGAAAGCGTTTGTACTAAGAAATAAAGATACTAAACTTTTTAGAAATCTAATCACTTACTATTATGTTCACGGCTGATGTTATTTTTTTGAAAGCGATCTACCGGTGCCTCTGGAGACAAGTTTCATGATAGTTGGCATTGGTCAGCAAAACAATATTTACAGTCTCTTCGGAATATTGGAATACGTGTCAGGTAATATCAATAAAGCAATGCCTGACTTCCTGTAGAAATAAAACATCTACAGTGTTGAGGGAACCAATGTTGATCCGAACTATGGAATAAATAATCATGTAATTGGTTACTACTCAGTAGCTGAACAGTCCACATTTTCGGTTGCCCCTAACTGAAAAAACTACACCTCTCAGCAGTCAGTTAATAATCATCAGTATAGAGGAGATTTCTTCGGGCGGCGTGAATACCTCAGTGAGATTACAGGCATACATTGCTGACGAGTGACAACTATCAAGAAACCAAGTTCAAGCAATATTTCCTGTCGACTACCTCCAACCACCACCTTAAAGTTGTAAACTGTCTACTAAACTAATTTGGTCAGATAATATAACTACATTTTTAACCCAGTGATTCATTGTTGCAAATAGTCTATTTTTATGTGCTAGTCCCTGTCTTATCAATAATACTACTATTGGCCGATTCTGAATCCAGCTACTGAAGAGACATCATTCTCTCTAGTGTCGGAACAGGCCTTTGTATTAACATTGAACAAGTATGGACTTTAGATGAAGTAAGGTGTATACACAAACATTCATTAAAAAGGGTCATTGATGTTTTCCATAAATAAATTTAGGGATCCAGTGGTAATCTGTAAGTCGAATAAAATAATAGGGAGATAATTTAATGCTTCCATTAATATAGCTGTCGAATGATTATAGTTTCGTGATCGCTACGTAGATTTTATCCTGTTTTCGGTCGTGAAGGTCAGTCTAATGTTGATTACTTCCCAATGATTCTTTAGTTAACATTAGATTATGAGATACAAAAACAGTTTCAACTAGTTTAGTTCAAGATGTCAGTGGATTTCTTGGATAAAAGTGTTAATTTTGACTAGTATTTTGAGTAAGCTGAGACATTGTGAAAGAAATGAAGATGACGTAACAGTCCTAGGAATAACGTATATACATATTAATAACTAGATTACTACTTATGTCTTGTCTAGTTGTAGCCTAATTATTCGTCGGATAAAGTCAAGATGAGATGAATACGTGCGGTTAACAAACTTTAGAAGCTACGTTTTTTAAGAGTAGATTAATGTTTATATTGTTAATGTGCATTTTTAGGCATTTAGTTTATGGGATTTCTACATTCTCCTAATTTTAAACATCCATTTAACCTTTAATTGCCGTTACTTCTTTTCCTGTTCCAAAATCGTTGTAATTTAATTATAAGCCTGTAATTCACATTTGTCATAGTTAGGTATGCGTTTTGATTTCTTAATTATGTTGTGTTTTGGTCCCATAATTTGTATATACCATGCATTTTATTGTGCTAATATGTAGAGGGGGCACAGTAGCTATTTATTTTTCATGTCCTGGTTGGGGCTTTGGGACCTAGAAATTCTGGACAGTTTGATAAGCATTAGCATATCAGATCACTGAGTCAGAAGCCATCAGTGTTATTTATTCAAACATAGCTGACCAGGGTTATATTAATTAAGGTTTACTCTCTTTCCCTGTTCACCTCCATTTTATTTTTCTCATAATCTAATAAGTTGTGTATCGTGTAACAAGTTTTAAGTCCAGTTTCTGGTTCGTAACATAAATAGGCAATATTCGATGTCGTCATACATAAACAATGTGAAAATCTAGTTTTTCAAAACATTTCCCGTCTTTAAATTTAAAGCGGTTAGAAATTTTAATTGTAAAATAAAAGGCTATTTTACTGGATTATCGATGACAATTCGTTGTGGAATCGATTGCGCACGTTTCGTCGTATGTCGGACTCATTGGCTACATGAATTGTCATCTCACTTGTTAAATTACATCAAGGCAAGTTCTTTTGGTTAATGGATAAATAATATTTGTCCACTTTACTGATAATTATTATACAGACGGAGTGATCAATGACTGTATGTGATTGCACGATCGACGGATTATCTAGAAAACTTAGTTACAAAAGTACAGATAATATTGATTCATATTTATAAAAATATCATGTGTCCTAGATACAGATTAGTTACAGATAAGAATATGTGAACAAGCTGTTGCCTATCTCATTTACTACTCCCATGTAGATAGTTATTTTTTATGCAAAATACGATTTTATTGCTTAGTATTAAACCTGGATTTTAATGATTTTATTATCTGTCAAATATAATTTCCATGTTACACTTTTAAGACAGCATGCAGGAATCTTAGTGAATTTATTTATTGATAAAATCACTTTGGCTTACCATTATGAAATATATATCTATTTGGGATTTGCTATAATTAGTTATGATCACGTGATCACAATGAAACTTGATTAAATGTTTAATAAAGATCATACCGCATTAATGATCTAGATTTTGTTGTAGTAACAATTGCAGCCTGAATGGGAGAAGAACAAGACGGTTGTCTAGTTTGGTTTTAAAATTCAGTCATTTTATAATATCACAGATAATGGTATGCTCAAGGCTATTGGGAACACAATTAACTGGTAAATAAAATATTATTCAGCCAATCAAAATCAGCTGTTCAACACGATTAACAATAAAATCAATACTGTTCAAATGACTAGGTAGGGGTATCATATAAGTTGATTTTTACTCTAAGTGAATAATAGAGAGTCATTTATCTTGAATATCCAGCATGTATCCGAGTTATTGAAATGTTATGGAATCTGATTGACCTAAAATTTGAATGTTTTAACGACATATCGTTGGACCAGATATCAGTTATTTTATTACTATTGCTTTTTATGCTTGACTTAAATGTATATTGCCAATGTATTTGAAAGTGTTAGAGAAATCGTGTCCAAACTGCAGCTCAAGCGAAAATTATTTCATTTTATACTAATTTAGGAAACATGACAATGGTGGACTAATATATTTACTATGTACCGTTATTTAGTCACTAGTTTCTGGATGGAAATATTGGAATGAAATGAAAATGTATTGAAATAGATCATAATTAAATGACTAGTTAACTGAATTAGTGTATTTATTATCACGCCTACTGGTACATACCTCAAATGATGATTGAAGTCATCAAAAGATCAAATCCCGACGGTATTTAAATCTGTCAAGTTTATAATAAATTTATCAGCTAGCATCATGTGAGTAAGAGTATCTTAATAGATGATGAAAAAACTGAAAAGCTAAGCCATCGAAAAAATATCAATGCAAGTTTCTTTCATTTCTGAATATCTCATAGTTTTCCTTGAAAAAAATAATACAAAGTATCTCATAAATATTGATTACAACAATGATAAGTACAAATTTTAATCTGTTCTATTGGTTAAAACTCTTGGTTTATTTCCTTCTTTCTGTAACTCAGGTCAAATTTACCTATTTAACTCGTAGGTGAAAGTTACTTAGAAGACCTAAACAATTTTGAATAAATCAACGGTTTGATTTCTTGTTCATAATCACATTCTTACCAAAAATTTAACAAAGAACAGAAATATGTTTCCAGATTTAATTTATCAAATAGATTTTTTAACTATGTGAATAACTTTCAATCAGCCAGCTACAACGTATGACCAGGCACATATATACATCAGTACAAGTTGCCACACCTCATTAGCACAAGATGAACACCGAACCCGTAGAAGTAGTTACTTCAATGGTGGTAATATACAAAAGAAAGATTGCATTTCTTAACATAATATTTTAACTTCATTTACCTACAAAATAAAGAGAATTTGTCCGTTGAATTATAAACTCACTAGCGGATAACCTTCAGCTGGCTCTCTCAATTCACTCATCAAATAGTAATATCAAGTTTATTCTTTTCTTTGAATATAAAATGTAAATTATTATTAATGTTTTACTGTTTTCTCTCGGCTTTTGTTTTGTTTCTTAGTTCGGTTGTTGCGGTGTTACTTCAGCAGCTGATTATGGCACAAGATCCCCACCTAAAAGTTGTACAGTAACAAAATCTATCCAGTCATATTCTAGGGTAAGTTATCTTTCTTTTTGTTGTTGCTTTAAACCGACGGATATTTTTATTTCGGAAATATATCTCTAGTTGTAAAATAATTTCTATTAACCTTAACCGATATGAACACAAATTATTTCGTTTAACATCGGTCGACTAAACTGATTGACTAATAATATACACAACTTTAGTGGTTAAATAACCTTTAAGATAAAATTGGACTGAAACTAATGAACTTTTGTCAACTTTTAAAAACGATTAGGCCTTCGGTGATTTCTAATTTTGAACGACTGGGATTCTACTACAAACAGGATACAATTTGAACTTGATAAACCAAGAGACTAGCACACATTACTTCAGTAGTTATCCCGATACAAAAGGATACAGTGATAAGTTAGGGGTACAGGAGAAAGCTTACCATTCAACAAAATCAAATCAATAATAATAATTTATATATTCTGAAAATAATAATTACAGAATTCACGCCAGTTTACATGCATGATCAATTTGATATAAATAGTAACATTCGATGCACAGAACAAACATGTGATAGAAGTTTTCAGTATACTAGTTCAGTAATTGTTTAGGTAGTACATGTATTACAGAGATCCAATTCATCAGCCGGGAACTTTGAATTTTTCTTGAATGGACAGTCTGTTGATTTATGAATGGTGTAATTAAGGTCATTTCGTGTGCCAGATCGAATTATTGATAATTATCTACAACTAGAGAAATTAAAACGAAAACAGAGAGCACGGAACAACAAAGCAGTAATTATCAAAATATGTCTGTCAGGTCTACCAAAATGCGTGTGTCATGTCACACAGTGATATACTGTTGATGTTATTCAAATTGGTTAGACTTGCTGGGGACGGTGTTAATATAAAGTGACAGCAAGTAGGTGGTTTTACTTAGGGAATGCACTAATAAAGATGGATAAACATTTAAAGTTCCTATAATATCACTTGTGGAATGAGATACAATTACAGGTGCTAAAACATTCAGTGCGTTATCAGAGGGGCAGTATGCATCGATGCAGCGAACAAATAATGGGAGTGATTTTATCGTACGGATAGATTGTGGCAAGTTATTGCAGAGTCTAGAAACTTTGCAGGTAAACTAATCCATATAAAGACATGATTTAGAATAAGTTTGTTTCAATAGTGACAAAGAATTACGGATGTCATAATGAGAAGTTTGTGCATATTGAGTCACATGATTGGATGTAAACGATAGTTTATTAAGTAGTTTGAAGAAAAATATAAGATTTAGTTTGAGTCACCTCTTCCATAAAGGGTCTAGCCCAAGTTCATTACATCTAAAATTAAAAGTTAAGGTACAATCAGGTCCAAGAATACGAAGTGTAAATCGTCTCTGTATTGATTCCAGCCTTAATTTATCCTTTATGCGCCCAGTGCTAAGAATAAACGTGCAATATTCTAGAAGAGATCGAACACAAACTTTTTACATTAGAATACGTGACTCATTGTTATAAAGGTTTCGAGTTATGTAACCTACTAGACTTTGGGACTTAGAGGTCTATTTGAATATCTGTTCTGTAAACGACAAGTCTTGGGAGTACCTAAGTCTACTACTGTATGTAACCTAGATAACACTTCTCCATTTATGGTAATGTCTAGGTTGAGTGATGTATCACCAAAGCATATCCATCCACATTTAGCCGTATTAAGCTCCAGTTGCCATTTTAAGCACCATTGTACTACCTTGTTAAGCTCCATGCTGATCCAATTTGCATATTTTTCAGCTCATATGGAGAAAATGAATATACTACTTTTAGGTGACTACGTACATATAACAACAAACATGCCCCCCTCAAATGCACTGATACGTCCGAGGGTGGAAATAGTTTGCTTTCCCCCTCAACATGCTCTCACATGACCATGCGTATACAGCCACTGTAAGGGAAGTCCTACCCACTGGCTTCTCGTGGTGGGGGTTTTGCTTACGAAATTGAGAGGACGAGAAGCGGATATCCGGCGCTTTATCCTGTTCGCTGGGTATGGAGGATCCACCTAGGGGAGTTGGAAAATCCTGATTCCAAACTAATAGTACACATAGGTTTCAGGATTCTGAGGGGACAAATGACGTATGAAATTATTGTTGGTCACCGACTACCATGGGGCTGCATCTCCTAAAGTTGATCCACCCCTAGTGGATTAGACCTCTAGGCAAAAGGTTTGGGGTGTGGCCTCCTAAGGAAACAATCTGCTTCTGTTCGGGCACCCAGGTAGTATTCCAGCCCTCACATAAATCGAATGATTTATGTGGCGCATATATATTTGGTACCTTCTTGTACCAATGTTTATGTGCTTAAATAAAATAGCAACAAACATGACCTTGGGTTGAAAACAAGAGTGAAAATAACTGATCAGATTACAACAGAGACCAATGAAAGGAAATATGAATTTAAAAATTTTTATCGTTATTATCTGTACAAGAAAAAATTAAAGTTTATTGACAAAATTCTCCGTCTTCGTATCACTGTTCAATACAGAATACTACATTTTGTATAGGATTCTTAAGAAGGTTATACATTCATTGACATAATCCTCAGAAGCGTTGAAGCTACCTAATATTTGTGAGGGAAATTTGAAGGAAAATTATAAAACTCTGGATTTTTGTTCTTGTTGTATGAATCAATATGTATATTTTTAACATTTACTGGTTAAACAATTATTTTTATGGTATTTCTACATAGCCTACACTGTAAGTTCTCTTCCAAACAAAAAATTATTACCATACTTTCTGTCTAGTTAATTGACCGATTAATATATAACTCAGCCACATGTCAAACTTCTGTACTAATATTCTAACTAGCGTGTTGGAAATATGTGAATTTTGTATGGGGCTTTTGATTGTTGTGAGTACAATATCGGACTAAGAGGGCTCAGCGTTATTGGTGTAGGTAGAAAGCATAATAATAATATCTTTTGAGAATGTGAAATAATCTCAAACGGTGAATTTCAGTGTGAATCGATTAAAATTTATCTATCAGTTGTTTGTCTGAGTAACCATAACTCATCACAAAAAGGTACCAGAGAACTTACTGACAAAGTCAGCCTTCAGACTTCTCACTAGGTAGTCTTAGTTAAAAAGTAGTAACAGATCTCGTTTTACTTTGAATAATTAAACCAGTAACCAAAATATTAAGTTAAAATAAAGGTGGATGACCTTCAATGATCAAAAAATAAGCCAACTTGTTATGTAAATTGAGTAGGATGAAAGAAAATCAATGTCTGGTGTTAGGTCACATGATGATGGAAAAATATCCAATCATGTCAACTATTTTCTAACGCATTAGAGTAACGAATTGAGGATAAAACAAAGACTGATTAGAAATCGTAAATCAAATACGTAATGATGAACTCAATTTTAAAGCAAAGTTTTGTATAAGAGCTAATGATGTAGCATGTCTGTGACTATCGAAGTAGATGAGTCGAGCCTCGAACTTGTGGCAAATAGCTCAACCATTGAGCTAAAACTTCTCATTAAGCGTAATAGTCTAGTTGAAAAATGGCTGGCATTAGCATCCATCTCGATGAAGGATTTTTATTCTTATAAAACTTCTGCGTTGAATATTTTTTATACAAATTTCATTTCGAATAGCTTAAGTGTGTAAAACTTGTACTATCTATTTAGAGTAGCTAAATTTGTTTGGACAGTCTTAAAACAAAGTGTCTAGAACATTTTTTTCGTAATAATTGTAATAATGGACAGTGCGTTTGACTGATTTATGTGGATTCTATGAACAAAGTTACACAAATAATGATTAGTCTTTGTTCAAAAATTGTATCATAATATTGAAGATAGTTTTCGTCATAGATTAGAAGCTGCCAGAGAACCATTGGAGATTAGAGTACAATAAATGGATCTTTTGTTGTAGTTGGTGGCTTCCAAGCAGTATATATATAAGTATACATCAGACTAGTTGAAATGTTTGCCGACTACTCGTTCAAATTTGTCCAGTGCTTTGTTTCATAATTTAATAAAGATCACACCATATAACTTTGAAATTATGGTTGTCAACAGAGATAGTCAATTGTCTTCCGAATATTCGTTAACTAAGACAAAAAATTATTGTGTACAGTAGAGTTTGTAACTTACTAACTGTTCACTTAAGATAAAATTTGTAATTAGATAAAATTAATATTAAAACCTGATCAGACTATCACAGAATATATAAACTGTTCTGGAATGTTCTTCATCAAGGAGGGAACAGTGAGAAAAAGTTGGTGTTAACCGTTATACCATATATATTTTTATGTGACTGTTTTTGATGAAATTGGATTCTTTGAGCTAACCTTCCTGAGCTATAAATCTCTATCGCCATTTTGACGTGATAGTTTGCTGACTGTAAAACTTATTTAGTTGCATAGACAACCGTTAAACATATAATGGTAGAATAATACTATGTATTTATCGATTTGTTTCGAGTTATCCTATATAACTATTGGGATATTCAGAAAAATATCCCAATAATTATCCTGTTAAGTCTAATGGTGTCCTTGGACTTTAAATGGACATTTCCTACTGGTCAGTGTTTATTTCACTTGTCAAATATTGTACAAATGTTGTTTTCTATTTTATGGTACGATGTGGTCTGTTTGATTGGCAGACAAACAGAGTATGTCTGAAATGTAATGATCCATATCTCAGAGGCTGAGACTTGCATTCTGGACTAACTGGCTGGGCTAGATAGGGAAGCAGGGCCAATCAGGACTCTATGTCGTCCTTACGTGTTTACGCGTCATTGGTCCGATCGGTAGGTCGCTGACTCTAATCTGCAGTCCACAAAACATAACAATAACATTGGCATACTAAAATGTATGATAACTATACTTCAACCATCGTTTATAATGAATACCAAGCAACCAATAAAAAAGAAATAAAGGCAAACAGGAGGCAAATAAAAGAGATACTTCGTTAGAAAATAAGAAGGAAATGATGGAGAAATGCACCAGGAAGTTTCCTTATTCGCCTGTAATAAGGAAATGGTGCGAAATTTCCTTTTTTTCTAGCTCTGTTTGAAATGCTACTGAATTGTCTACTTTTCTCCCAAATTCAGGCCGGATTGTCTACTTTTCGTCATATAGCTGTTAATCACCGCATTATATAGAAGTGGCTGGTTAGTGATTCTGTAATGGAATTTGTTCTTGCGAAGTGTGGCCGCCAACATTACGTTATACCTGTCTGCTTTATCCAAGAATGACAGTTGTTCCTATAGGGGCCCCAGCGGGTACATAAGATACCTTACATTATATCTTAGTTTAGGCAATCTTTGGGCAGTAGTAAAGTTGGAGGCTTTTAGTTTCTTTGCTTCTAAGTTTTTACCACTCTTGTTGGTCTTCTTTAAGTCACATACTTCTTGGATTCTATTTAATACATATGAGTGCCTGCAAACTATATAATTATGTACTACAATTTATATACGTTTCTAGCATTTTTATAGCCTGTAAAATTTTTTGTCAATTAAATCTTTATCACAAGATCATGATCCTATCAACCGTTGGAAACACTGGACGATTGTTTCGTCCCAGTGTAGGACTCTTCGTCAGTGCGCATCTACGACCCCGCACATGGGACTTGAACAAAGAACCTTCGGTACTTGAGGAGCTAATAGCCGTACTATCAATAAATGTATACATGGTGTCCCTATAAACATTTACAATTACTTGTGATGCCTTAAACCAACAACACAATAGTTGTTCCCTAGTTTCTGTGTTTCAATGATTATTCAGCTAAAACCACTATAGGATAAAGATTACGTTAGAGTTAACATCACGGACTGACGTTAGTTAGGCAATTGTTGGAAACCATGAAACACTGGACAACTATTTCATCTTAATGTGGGACTCAGGATTTCACATTTACAGCCCAACCAGCGATCAAACACAGGACTTCCAAGAGCTTGACCTCTTAACCACTGAGGGAGCATCTAATGGTTAATACGTCTAACGTCTTACACGATATCATTGCAAGACCTGAAGGTTATGTGTTCGATCCCAGTCGAAGTTGTAGAAGCTCACTCATGAGGCGCCCAATATTTAGATAAAACAACTGTCCAGTGCTTTCTAGTTTTTACTGATTATATAACTAACATCTATCTGTAATGTAAACTATAACATTTGATAACTTCCACAAAACCTCTATGCTAACTACTTTAAAATTGTCAAAACGTTATCATGTTCATTAATGATCAGAATTTCCTATATTAGAATTGATCATGATATATAATATGGAGATTTGTTGGATTATTCACAACCAAGAAAGTGATTTATACAATCTATTTGGTTCTATGATAAAACCACTGAATTTTCTAGAAAATCTTTTAAAAGAAAAGTTTCTAATTTATCCAATCCTTACTTTATCTAAATAAATAATTTTTTTTCTTATTCGATAATCAACGCTGTTAATTTCAATGTTTAGTCAATTCATCATTTACCTTTCTTATTCATCTAAAGTACTCGGGTCATTAATGTTTTACTTCGATAGAAAATATATAATAGAAAAAGGAATTAACATATTCCAAGTTAAAAATAAATTTATGCAAATTTATTTTCGTGATATTTGATATCCAATACATTTTCTAAGTTATAAAGTACACCTTAAAAGAATCAATAGTTATGTAAGTCTAGTGTCCTATTAATAATCAATCTGTCTGATGATAATAATACACAATGTATTCTAATATATGTGCATGTTTTTCTTCATTGTTCTATGCTAACTTCTGTATTAGTTATTCAATGTTAACAAAGAACATTGAATTTTATTAAAATCCTAAACCGATTTTTGTTTCAAACAATCAATAAACATGTATCTTTTAAGGTGTAGAAGAAATGGTTAACCAATAGATTTTTACTTTATGGTAAGCAACTATGTTGTCTTTGTTTTGAAAATTGTACAAAGTAAGAATAATTATTATTATAAGACGATGGTATAAATTAGTCCCAAATTCATATGATTTAAGTCTTTCAAATGTTATGTAATTCAGTTTATGAATAAAATGTACAAATATAATTTTTACAGGTTGAAATCATGAGTCAATTGAAGCTAGACCACCATGGAAAACCTGGAAGCACTGGACGGCCGTTTCGTCCTAGTATGGGACTCCTCAGCAGTGAGCATTCAATTGACTCATGATTTCAACCTGTGAAATTTCTAAAAAATCTCCACAAAACCCATTCTGAAAATATAATTTTGTATGAAATATACACAAGGATAATTCAATTTACTGTGATGATGTAAGAAATGGATAACTGTGAAAGATTGTGATGTCATCAAATGATTCCAAAGTTATCACTCTGTTATTGATGTAATAATTATCTACAAAAATTTGTCAAAAAGAGAGACCAACCAAGAAAATTTAAAACATGAATAGTAATCATAAGCAAAGACGGATAGTGGCTAGCAGTGGAATCCAGGACGCGCGTTTCGTCCTGTTTGGGACTCGTCAGCTGGATGTACCTGCATCTCAGAGTTGATGTTCACTCTGGGACTCGAACTCAGTACCGTTCGCTTGAAACGCCATCGCGTTATCCACTTAGCTACTGAGTCCTGATAGCCACTTGCTTGTGCAATGGGTTGAAGTTTAATTCACTTGATATTGTTTTACTTGAATTTTCCCATTGATGTTTTAGGACTGAAATTGATCAGTCTCTTATTGGCATATGTGCATACTGTGCGTATGCCTCGATATTGCCTTAATTTACAAGCATTATAAGCACATATGCCAATAAGAGACTGATCAATTTCAGTCCTAAAACATCAATGGGAAGATTCAAGTAAAACAATATCAAGTGAATGAAAAGTAATCACTTTGTATATTCTTAATGAGTGATGTATCAAACAGTTGGTTTATGGAGCTTTGTAACGACCATACGGATTTGATAGGAGGGATTTAATACAGTTCATCCGCCCATAAAATTGACATGTGAGAAGGAAAATGAGGGTAGAATAGCCTTTCTAGATGTTCTACTTACAAGAAGAAAAGACGGGTCACGTCCAATGATCACTCCGAGGTTGAAAGATAAATTGCCTAGACTAGCCACCTCTTTCTGTATCTATCAATTCAACTGCTCCTGTGGAGCAAGTTATATTGGCAGATATTCTAGGAATTTATATATTCGGACTCGTGAGCGCCCCTCCAAGTGTGGTTAAGCAAAGGCGTAGTTAAAAGGGTTAACAGCTCATTTAATCCAGACGGGATATACAGCCAACATGTAGCAATCTTTCGTAATAATATATCGTGTTAACAGCAGTCTACCTAATTCCGTCAGACTGAGAATCCTGCAGACGGCTGAAGCAATTTCTATTCAGATCAAAAAGCCAGAGCTTTGCATCCAAAAGAAATATGTTCAGCCGCTCCTTTTATAATATGGTGACGTGATTTGATTAATGTTCATTTTTATGTCCCAAACTTATGATTATTATCTTTATCATTATTATTATTACAGTTGATAACCTTTTTGAGAAATTTATTCAGCATCCACCCCTATCTACTATATCTGACCTAATTGATATTATTCTACATATTATGGAATTTCTGATATTTATTCCATTATTCTATCTCTCTCACCCCGTGTTGACCATATTTATTCTGATCATTTATCTCACAATTTCATTTCACTTATAAAATGATTCAAGTTAACAATTTATATTAGTCAGCCCCAACATTAACGATTTGATTTGATTTTATATGACAAACAGCAATTCTTGATTCACATATTACGATTTCCAAATAATGTACTCTGCCTTAAATCTGGCCAATTTTATGGATTATTAATTTGAATTTATAATTGTAGAACCTGATGAGAAATTATTGAAAAGAATATTCTTCGTTCATATACTTTCTTTTTTGATTGTTAGCGATTATCATATTTTATGTTACGACTGACAATAATTAGACAGCCACCGAAAGCTAGAAGGCATCGGGCGACTGCTCCGTCTTAGCATGGGACTCCTCATCAGTACGAACGGACGAAACCTGAGTATCCTGACTTCTTTGCCTCAGCAGGGCCGTCATTGTACACTAAGGACAAAACAGCTATACAGTCAGTCCTTCCTGGTTTTCGATGGTTGTATAATTAAGATCGATTTGTGACTTAGGCTTTTTTAACTCGTCAATTATTGTCATATCTTGTAACAGCTAAAACAAAAGTCACTTATAACCACAAACGGGTTACTTGTTTTAGCAGAAAAAATATCTTAGTTACGTAGCTACTAGTGATTTACACAATTTTTTTCTATCACGGTCCAATATTTAACTAATCAAATCACATGAGTTATGAGTCTAAAAGAGATACTTGTACCCTTTATCTGGAAGTGCTCTTTGTTTTTCTTCAGATGTTTTTGGTATAGTGGACAGTTTTATGACCCATCGATCATGTGAAGAACTTCAGTACCAGGTTTTAATGGCTTGTTTGTCAGTTTTGTACAATACATGATATATTTACTGAGTCATTAAAGAGTCTCTGTCATAGAACAAAATATCTAACCATTAATGAAAATATAATTTTTTACATTTTTAGGTTAAGATAAGAGAATAATACCGAAAATTAGTCATTCCATCCACTGCATAATAAAATTATTTTTATATGTTCAGTGAAGTTGCATTTTTACTTCAAATTTCGTTAAATTCAATAACTTCATTACTTATCGATTTATGTACTGATAGGGTTGTCACGAAGTACTCGTGGAGGCATGCAGATCTAATTTATCTGTAATATGTGGAATCGGGATTAGTTTCGCTTTGATTCTTGTAAGTTGATTTTTCATTTAACCATTTTATTATCTTATTGATAAATTTATGTTATAATTTGTATTTAATAGCCCAATTCATATTAAAGCGTGTTGCTGTGATTTAATTGAACACCATGTTGGTGATTTTAATCACATACTGTGATTTTGGGAATTACTTTTCTTCTTCTGAAACTTGTATTTACTAGTTTCGATCTAGTAAGTAACTCATATATATATCGATAAAAAAATTAGAGGTTTAACCAACTAAGCAGCCGAAATTGTCCAGAATATTTACTTCGTTTTTTCAAAGGAAGATTAACAACAACTAGGTGGAAAATAACACTAAATTGACTTAGAAGGATTTTTGACCTTTTCAGATTCAAATACATGAATAAAGCTAATCACAATCATACTGACAGTTACATAGAGTATGGAACAATTGTGGTATAGATTTCATGCATATTTAAACATAGCAACAGACTTTCGTGTATAACTTAGTTCTAATCTGTCTAAAGATACGTTCTTCAAGTACCTTTGTAGAGGTGGTAATGGCTTAGCTTCGTTAATCAGTCACATTGATAACCGTTATTATATAGATTCCAACGCTGTTTGAATTCATAAGGCAATAAGAAGCGGCGAATACAGTTTATTAGATAACACAAATAACAAAGTTACAAGCAACATCGAGCGAATTGGAGCAAAGAGGTAATATGTGTGTGAGCGAATACAGAGGCAAATTTATAGTCAAATCGAATCAAGGCACAGCGAGGCAAAGCAAAGGCCATTAATAGGATTCGAGAACATATATACATGGGAAAGAGAATGACTCATCGTGCAATATTTAAACGATCAACATTTTAAACTAGAGAGAGATATGTGGATACGCTGTCACATATGATCAAGCGTATACGTTTATGCAGGCAAGATAGTGATCATAATTACAAAGAAATAGACGCATTGTCACTGTTCGAATAACATTATTTAATAAGTTAATGAAAGGGCTTGACAAAATTTAACCAGTAGAACCTGACAATATACCAGCTAAAGTATTGAAGGCAGACAGAACTAACTGAAAGTATGCTTCACTTTCTCTTCAGGAAGATTTGGGAGAAGGGACAAGTGCTGACAGACTGGAAAGAAGGATACCTCATCCAGATATAAAGAAAGGAAATCTGAACAAGTGTTAGACCTAAAAGTCGTTACACTACTATAGGTACCAGGAAAGGTTTTTAAGTGTTGCTGAACCGGATGAAATACTCAGTAGACACCCAACTTGGAGATCAACAGACCAGATTCCATAAGGATCGGTCATGCATAGACTAAATCGCAACACTACGGATCATTGTTGAACGACCAATTGAATGGAACTCGTCACTATACATCAACTTCCTTGATTATGAGAAAGCATTTAACACTATGGATAGGAGAACATTATGGAACCTTCTACGACACTATGGAGTGAGTAGCTGAGAAGGTCGTCAAGATCATCCGGAATTCATACGACGAACCACAGTGCGAAATGATGCATAAAAGACTGCTGACAGACTCATTCCAAGCAAGGGTTGGAGTCAGGTAAGGTTGTTTACTTTCTTCCTTTCTCTTTCTTCTGGTGGTTGACTGGATTATGAAGACCCTCAAATCTCAGGGGGAAGCATGGAATATAATGGACAGCTTTGAGGAAACTAGACGATTTGGACTTGGCTGGTGACCTAGGTCTTCTATATCATACATAGCATCAAATACAGGTGAAGACAGCCGGTATAGTAAGAGCATCTACAGCAGTAGGTCTCAACATATGCGAGGAAAAACCAAGACTCAAATACAACACAGGTGGCATCAACCAAATCACACTTGGTGGAGAAGCTCTGGAAAAGGTGTAAACTTCCACGTACTTGGACAGCATCATCAATGAACTAGGAGTATCTAATTCAGATATGGAACTCAAAACAACTGTCAACCAATATGAAAGTGAGAATCTTCAATACGAACGTAAAGACAGTTCTACTATACGAAGCTGAAACGTGGAGAAATACCACATCCATCAACAAAAACGTACATTTATAGACAATTGTCTACGTAAGATACTGAATTTTCGTTAATCGGATACCATCAGCAACAGCCTACTGTGGGAGAAAACAAGCTTTCAGCTGAAGGGGGAATCAGGAAAAGACGTTGGAAGTAGATAGGACATATATTACGGAAATCATCAAATTGCATCACGATGTAATCGCTAACTTGGAATTCTGAAGCGAAACCGAAAAGGAGAAGACCAAGCAACATATTGCATCAGTAATTGGAATCAGACATCAAAAGAATGAATAGCAAATGAAAAAGATTACCTGCGGTAGAGTTCGATGGAGAACGCTGGTGGGCAGTCTATGCTCCTCCACGAACTGTAACAGGTGTAAGTAAATCTATTTAGTTTAAAGGATAATGAGTTTAGGTATACTTTTTAACTAATATTAGCTCATATGTCTTTTTCCTCTCTTTTAAAACCAAACTATAGATATCTGGGATGATGTTCTCTATGATGTTGTGTTGTGCTATTCGTGAACTCAGTTGAGCCATCATCATAAGGTGGAAAGTCGAAGAGACAAGTTACAGCTTTGTTCTGATCACTAGATGTATGTTAATTTAACTATATACAGATTTATATTCACCAGATCATAGCTATTACTATCAATATGGATGTTTTATTGCTGTTTTTCAAGGTAAAAAAAAACAACAAGATACTGACAAAAGAATTAGGTTCATTACCTTAAAACTATTCATTTAGATTTTTTTATTTGTATCTTATTGCTTTTATCATTGTCTTATAAAAAGAGCCTTAGCTATATTTATCTGTTTATCGAACTTGATGTCTGTTAATCAATTGAAATGCTATGTCTATTTATATATCCACCATATATCTATGTTTATTTATCTGTTTCTATCTATTCATCAACCCTAAATAATTATTGCATTTTAATTTATATTTTCGGTTGGAATGTGCATTCTTTTGTGATTGAATATTATAGTACTTTTTATCATATACCAAATGTATATTAACAGGTTCAATAACATTTCTGTGAATCAATTCTAAGTAAATCGTGTTTGATGCTGGGAAATTCATGTAAGCGAAAATTCAACTGTTAGTATGTCATTAATTATTATATGACTGTGAAATAAGATATTTTAGAACATTCTTAGACTTTTTTACTTAAGCAAGATTTAACCATACTATGCTGTTCAATGAATCACTGTCTAGAAAGTGAATTCAACGAAAACTGAAAAAATAGTGATATGAATATTTCATCTAATAAGTAACACTATAAAATAAGCTATGAAGCATGGGATTTAAACCAAACACCCTCTAATAGCACCATTCAGTGTAAATATTGAAAAGTAAGAAGGTTCTCCTTGTTCTTGTTCGAAATATATTCGATACGTTAAAGAACCGTTTTATTTTTCATTTACTAAAAGTGAGCTCTAGAATAGGTCAATATTTTATTGAGATATTGAATGATGAATACTCTTTACGATTAAGTGATCACAGAGTAGTGACCACCAGTGTCATGTTTGCCTAACTCTAGTGCTAATCAAATCCTATCTATCAAGTTGCACTACGGTCATTGGTCTAAGTAACTCAGCATTGCGCGTACTGTGGCTGAGTTCGATTCCCACAAGAAGCATCATTTCATACAGGATTACAGGTACGTTTGACTGGAAAATCTTAACCAGCACTAAACTAAGGTCTAGGGTTCTCTTCCAACTACATTCAACAACCATCTATTAGACAAACGATCTTGTAGTATATCGAGAAATGGACTGAATCATACTGAGAAGGATGAGTTTTTGCTCCAATATCTTCATCTTAAGATAGAAGAACTCATTTTAAACCTAATACAGTTTATGTCAAGACAGTGTACCCACCAAAGCTCCAACACTGTTTTGCCAGAGATTCTTGCTTTGATCTATCAATCAGCTTAATAGCTGATTTCAAGGTTATCTTTAGCTTCGTTCACAATCACTGATTTAGTTTATTTTCGGATATTTATTAAAGTACATATGGGAGTTTGAGTTTTACGTAGTACCACCATCATATTATCTATTGTAGAAACTGTTGTTCCACAATCTCGACGACTTCTCAAGGCCAATAGTTTTCACTTTGAAAAGCAACGTTTACGCAAATGCTCTATAAAAGTTATACTGTAAACTTTATTTGTACTGCTTGTGATGCTATCGATATATTTTATGCTATCTTCAACTGAAAAAGCTATTTGATTTGTAATTACATTATTTTTATCACCCTAACTTACCAATATTCTGTCTGACTATTGATCCCACAATTTCAGCTGTCATGTAAATCGACCCAAGTCAACACTATATTGGTCATTTTAATATAAGAATGGGGGTTTGTAGAGATTGTAGTAATTTCAATAGTTGAATTTATGAATCGATCTAAGCTAGATCATCATTAAAAACCTGAAAATACTAGACGGCTGTTTTGTCCTAGTATAGGACTCCTCAACAATGAGCACCCACGATCCCGCATTCGGGACTCGAACCCAGGACCTTTCGTTTCATGCACGAACGCTTAAGCTCTAGACTACCACTGAGCAATCCTAATAATAATCCAAAATTCATAAACTGTAATTGTAAAAGATTTGTTCACCTTCAACGTGTTTATCTCTCTTTAGATAATTAACTTAAATATAATATATAGATCTCTTTTGAACCTGATGAGAGCTGATCGAACAAAAAATAATATCGATTGTTCAGGTATCAGAAATTATGTTTTCTATGTGAATGAAAATTATTATGAATACAATTATGAACGTTTTCATCCACTTATGAAATTCAGTCTACAGAATAGTTTTACTTAGTTCAGAGCGTATCATGAAATGAGTGTGTCCATTTCGTAATCAAATTATTCAGTTAATAATTATATAGTTCTTTACCTTAATGAAGTGAGATTTCTTAGTTTTTCACTATAATTTAATCATCTTGTTTATTAAATTTCAAGTATTCACTTTTTAAATTCAATACATAAAAGATAAAATTTTACCATTCACCTTCAAGATAAACTGTAATACCTGTTGAAAAGATATGCTTTAAAATAAATGATCATATATAAGTGTACTCAGGAAAAATGAATTGCTCATAGAAGTTAGTGAGACATATAATGCCAGTCAGAATGAAAAGTTTGGATCAATATCTAGGCTGAAGTTAAATGGCAATAATGTTATGGTTTGTGGTTGTTTATGTAAACATTTAGCTCCAGTTAATCTTGAATATACTTGTGCTGGTTCAATGAAAAATGTGTAGAGTGATCTAAGATTATAGGAGGAATTTTTGATTTACTGTACAACAAAAATATCATGAGAATAAGCAATATGAATTAATGAATACCAATTACAGTAAAATTATAGCTGTGTAATATGCCATTACATAGCTTTCTGTGATTATTAGAAGTATTTGAATTATTATATGAACCAGGAATCCCCAAGGTAACGTAATTTAAGTTAAGCAGAAGTAGATTAGCACAAATGAACATATTGTATTTAGAATTCAAAATCAGGCAGTCATCAAGTACAAAAGGATCTTTAGTTCATACAAACACCTCATCTGCCACAGCTTAAATTAGAATCTAAGTTTCTGTAATCTATTGTACGTTTTCTCCTTACGTTCATTGTATGTCAGGCTGTGTATTGAATACAAACTCTGTGTGATCTAGAATATACTCATTAGTATTAAAATTAACAACTGAAGTTGGAACTGACTCATTTGGATCCTAAAATCGTATATGATCAACATGTCGTTTGTGTACTAAAATCACTAATATCTAGAATTTGAACCATAGATTTTCCAACACAATACTCCTCCACGAAATAATGTTGGATCTTCATATCCTCAGGTTATAAATGATGTTGCTCCATTCAAAACATATTTCTCACGTTGAATAGAGGATTCATTAGAAGTGACTTCATGATAAGGCTAAACAACAGTTGATATGAAATCCCCCGAATTGTAATTAAATCGGGCTCGTGCTTCGGATTGAACAAGTTTCCTACAAGAAACAAGTGCATTATGAGGACAAATAAGATTTGATATGACATCATCAGGATTTGATTCTTCTGAAATATTTTCCTTAACTTTATTAAGAATTTCATTGGAGAATAATGGGATATTAGAAAAATCAGCATTTATCAAAACTGTATCAGATTTTCGATCATGATTTGATTCATTCAACATATTCTCCTCAGACGCATAAGAAATTTCATCAGAAATATGTGGATCATTAGGAAAAACGATATCTGATGCAATAACATAAGGATTCCGATAAGAAAGTGATTAACTAAAGGCTTTTGTCTCACAAGGATTATGAATTTCACTCGATTCTGGACTGCTATTTTACTCTACTGTTTTTCGAAATCATGGAACAAGATAAATGATCATTGGAAGCACTCGATAGGATCGAAATTACAAAGTTCAGTATTACTTGCAGCAAAATGAACAGTAGTATTACAGACTGACAGAATGTGGCTAATTTTTACCACATTTAAAGCACTTAGCATTACGAAATACACATGAATTATATGAGTGAATTTTGCTACAAAAGAAACATTTACCAAACGTGTGCTCATTTTTTGGCCTGCTTTGAAACTCCCCAATGAATTGTTATTTACATAACCTTGAGTACTCATTGAATTGGGATGACGTAGTAATGTAGTAGCATTTTCGATGTCCTGACGAATCATTTTATGGAATTTCCCTCCATCACTGCATTCGGAATTTGTACCCTTTATATGGTCTAGTAGTAATTCCTTGAGAGCTGGAGAGGAAGTTACTAGTTTATACTAGAAAATATTGCTGAATGTAATGAAGACTGGAGCCTGATGAAAAACCTGGGTATCTACTCGAATAAGAGCAAATTAACTGACCTATATGAATTAATTTCGTCAGTCATGACTACTTCATC